ACGGGACTCTACGGGACTCTACGGGACTCTACGGGACTCTGTGGGACTTTGCGGGACTCTAGTGAGATTAGTTGGGTGATTGCTCACGGGCAGGGTGGCGCAATCGCATCTTGTGCTGCCCTGTAGTTTCGTACGTTAGCTTTCACCGTTTTTTACCCCGAAGGGCGGCGCAACATATTTCTAGTAGGGGCATACGAACTCGCAATGGCGGTACCATCTAGCATTCGCCGTTGGCGGCTCACGTATGTATTCGCGATGGTAATACCATGCGGCAGTTGACGTTGGTGGGCTACCTACACTGACCTACACTGCTCGCTTTTGATGGAAAGGGAGAAATACTCCTGGCGCCCTCTTTAACTTTACGCTTGTGTGCACGAACGTAGTGTAGCGCCGAACTTAACATACTCAACGCATAACCCGTATCTTGGTAGAAAACGGTAAAGAGTCGGTCGCTAATTTTTCAAGCAATAACCGGGCAAAATGTCATCAGAAGAGGACGACGATGAGATAACAGATTTGGAAACCATTCGCGATAAAATTCTATCGCAGCCTCGTGGCGAACGTATGCAAGTGAGTGCTTGGGAAGACGATGACACCGGAGTTGAAGCCGAACGTAATGCGGAAGGTTAGGTGTTCAGACGTGAACAATTCTTATCTTCTACCTAATATTATTATTGACGTAACAGTTCTAATGTTGATTGATAGTAAATCGATAATATTCGTGATTATGGAAAGTTCGAATGTATTGATGTCATTACAGAACCTGATGAAAAAGCTATGCTCACTGCAGCGGAAGAAGGCAATCTAGTTAAAGTGAAGCAACTCTATGTTAAAAACAACTCATTACTGCACTGTACCGATAAAGATGGTTACACCCCACTTCACAGAGCATGCTATGGAAATCATGTTGATATTGTCGAGGTAACAATGAATTTATTGTGCCGTGTGAAGTCTCACTTAAAGTGTATAATTAATAATGATTATTTTATAGTACTTATTAAAAGTTGGAGCAAGGATGGATGCACAAACACAAGATAAATGGCAACCACTACATTCTGCTTGTCACTGGAATAATGTGGATTGTATCGCAGTTTTAATTGCACATGGAGCAGATATTAATGCAAGAACGGAAGGAGATCAAACACCTTTACATTTAGTATGTGCAAGTTCTCACAACTCTCCAGCCCTTCAACTTCTTCTTTTACATCCTGATACCAATCCTCACATAGTGAACAATAGTGGAGACACTCCACATCAGATCGCCAAAAGGACAGGCAAATACTATCCTCTATTCGAAATTATTGAACCGTGTCTAAATGAAATTTAAATAAAGGACCCACATTGGTCTTATTTTATATCCTATTTAATTGATATGCATACAAGAGAATGCACATACATGAGGATAAAAACATTGCATCATAACATTAATCAATATAATTACCTCTATATATTATGCCATAATTTCATAAATATCACACAACTAATAAGTAGACATAGACATTTCATTACATATGCATTCCACGAAGTAACTATCATGTACAAAAATACAAGTATCGAAATATCCGCATAAGCATAAGTTTTACATTAAAATGATGATAAGATAATACTTCAGTTCATTACATGAATGGTTTTCAATGTGTTCAAGACAAATCTATAATTTACTCTCTAGTGTTACTGTATCTCATTAAAAATATCTACAAACAGTACTTGGTTCTTTTCTTTTTTGGTGAATTTAAATCTCGTTATCGCTGTAGTACTTTCATTGGGACGTCGCTATAAATAAATCATCTAAAGGCCTGCGTATACCTGTATGTGTTCCTTGAAAATTTAAATGAGGTGCAATGAATGATAGACCAATTGTCGGTGTGAATACAATGGAGTATTTACAGTACTGCTCTTGTTCAGCTATTCTTACTTTTACTGTCAGTTTCGCCACCTTGTCAAAGGGATGTTAAATTGACAAACTTTGGAGTGCCACTGCTCAAACGTCTTGTTCCTTCCCAAATAAGAACTGTAGCATCATCAGTTGCTGCATATAAGTGATGCTGATCGAGAGACCAAGATAAGGCTATAATGGCACCACATCCTTTGCTACTATTCACTATTTCTCTAACGAGTCTTAAATCCCAACTACTCCACAACCTACAGGTACATTTTAAAGTGCAATTAAAATATACGGTTCACTTTAAGTATCAATGAAGCAATTTGTTATAACTAACCGAATCACTCCATTATCCAATCCAGTAGCAATTACATTGACGGAGACACCTTCCGGAGCATTGCTATAAGAGAGCGCAGTAATTTTCCTCCTTGACAAAACCGAGCCAACTGGTCTTGCATTAATTGTGTACACTTTCAGTTCTGAAGAATTAGAATGACTTTCTTCCTGGGAATTTGGAATCTCATATGTTACCGCTATGTCGCCCAAAGTATCACTGATCGACAATAGACTAATGGCATGACCTTCGCAGACTATTGCTCTTACGTATGATAAGCTGAAACACCCATAGATATAAATAAAAAGTCGGCTAAAATTTGGCGTGATGTGAATGTTAAAAGGTTTACCTGTTTAAATCCCATATGGCAATCATTCCATTGGAATCTCCTGTCACAGCGATACTAAACACTCTGGATAAACCGATGACTGTTACAGAGTTTCGGTGAGCCAGAAGCACCGAAGGTGGAGACGAGCTAAATTCAACTTTACCAGTAGAACCGATTGCATAGCTGTGCACTGTAATCCTTCCTGATAAATGACCAGCCCAAAGCTGCCCGCAATCAGGCGCGGATCCTAGGAGAGTGATCTGAAAAAATAATGGATTTCATCGTTATCTTTCATATTTCTGACATGTAATTGTAATTTTATAAGAGGACGTACAGGATCAATGCCAGAAGACTTCAGTAAAGGTCGTGGTGGCTGTTCCTTTTTAGATTTCAGTCTAGCAATTCCATCGGTTCCTCCCCACGATGCAAGGGCAGCTCCCAGTATCGATGTGCCACTCAACATGCTCGCTCCTAAATTACATCATATTTCATTTCTGATTTATTCCTAAAGCAAGAACTTGGAAAGCCAATTTAAATAACAGACCTTTTTCTTTGCTGTATCCAAGCAAAAGAGTAGTGCAGCTGGGTAAGCCAAAGACATCGCCAGTAGTGAGTGGTATCAAAGACGACAGCGGAGCCCTGTGTTTGTTCTTCCAGCAAAGCATGGGTTCGTTTCCAGGAGCTCCAACGTAGTTACCCCATTTGATGCCTGAAAAAGTTAAAAAAATATATAAATAAAAAACATATTCTATTAAATATAAGCTTCACATATGTCTGCTACTACCATCAACTCCTTCGATGACCCTAGGAAAACTGCTGCTCGATGGAGGTATCCCAAAGGTCTGAATTGGTAGTGGATGTGCAGCTCGGAACAGCTGAGCAGGTGTTTGCCCATAAGTTTTCACCATGGTTTCCCAAGCTTGCCGTTCTAAAGGATCTGCGATTTGTTCGACGTTGAATCCATAGTAGGTCTGCAAGTGGATGCAGTGATTGAAGGAGGAGACGAAGGAAATTCCTTGAACTCGGAACTTCAACTTACAGCTGGGTGAAAGACGTTTATAGCCTCAACGGCGGGTCTCCCAGTTTGCCTAAATCCAAAGACAAGGTCGATCCAAAATGGCAATACTTCTCTCACGAGGTCTGCCTCCAGTGCAGCTCTGTGAGCAAGAATAAAAAGCCGAGCGTCACCGCCACACCAAGCAGGCAATTCGACGTCGCCAACCGTATTACCATTTTGCCGGACGCCGAAATTAAATCCTGCCGAAATATCCTCGTTTTAATCGTCCATTATTTTCTACGTCCTTTCACTTATCGGATATTAATTACCTTCAGAGTTAAGTAAAAACTCGGGCAAATAAAAAAACTCCGGTATGAGTTCCTTTACGTCCGTCGTAGAATCGCAACTTGTCAATCTCCACGTGGTAGCTAGTGCATGAAAAGTCCGATCAGGGATGTCGAAATTATCATCTGCAGCAAGATGGTAAACGATATCAATTGAGTTACAGCTTGAAATCTCGTTGAAATGGTTAAATGTCATGTACCTTGGTAGCAGAGAAACATGCTCGTAAATGGCGGAAGTCGCACGAGGAAATGTAACACAGTGCCAGAATTACTGTAATGAGATCCGTAATGAAAGGGCTCCTGATTCAGGGCAATTAAATTCAGACCTTCCGTGAGAGCTTGTTTCAGGTACTGAAAATTGATTACAAACATTGTAACGTAACCAACCAATGATGCTTATTTAAATAAAAACTCACGTTATAATTATTAATGTAATGTTGCTCGTTTTTCTTATCCTGGACAGCCATGGGACGTTTGAAGTTTCTACGAAAAATATCCATCGGTGTATTATCTTTCATTAATAAGCTCATCGATGAAAGGTTCACTTAATGGCGTACCGATAAATGTTTGAATTGTTCAAGTCGATCTTCTCGCTGACGTAGTCTGCCAAAACGAAAGGGAAAACTGGATACTGCATCAGATCGTTGTAGGACCTCCCAGCTAATTTATTCAAACAAGTAATATATTCCCAATTTGTCAGAGTGCCACTTCGCCACAATGCCAAGGCTTCCCCTAAATCATCCCCTGGGATTCTCCTTGGCAAATTGCAGGCAGACAATTCCGCGACGAAGTCGTCCCTTTCCTGTGAGACGAATCGATTGAAATTAAATTGCACGGTAGTTATATAATCCACTAAATTTCCTTATCCCTTATAAATACCTTAGAAGAATTGAATGCAAGCAAATACGTTCGACCAGTGACAATGAATATCTCAATGGCCCTCTCTTGTAATTGATAACGCCTTCTGTGCAATTCCCGGATATCCTCAAGTCTCCAGGCAGTCCCTCCAGCCATCGCCAGGTCCAAACCACCCAGGGCAATCTGTGATATTAATTCGTTATACAAAACCTCGAATATTTCCATTTCAATACTAAACATCAGGAAGACCATTACATCGGTATGCAGGGGCATGTCCGGATTATCTGGTATAAAGTACAGGCACGATTCTCCAATAAGAGTTTCCCCTGGCAATTCGGCTCCTGGTGTCACGACCCGAGCCTGAGACATTTTCCGAATCCTTTCGCTGGTAAGCAGTCTTTCGATTAGAGCCGAGGCATTCGTATCCTGTCGAGATGACGTAAATAAGTACGACAATGGTCCCTCGACATCTGCCGCTTCTAAGAAAAAAAGAAATCACACGTTCTGATTGATGCTCGTAAATAAAGTGATAAACCCTAGGGCAAGATTACCATTACAAGAGTGTAATTGTTTTTTTTTTTTTTAACGACGGTGGAAACGTACTCAATTTGTCTCGGTGCTCCGATAGTAAGAATCTTTTTTCAATTTTCAGGTTGCACCTCTGAAGTCTTATCCTGACCCTTGCAGGACCTTCGGTAGGATCCAGTTCCCAGCTCCTTGGATAGCTCTCCGGGAAGTGCCATGGTGCTCTCTCGTGAGTCAATCGTCTGGCAAGGTCTCTCCACCTAGCCATCGCTTGAGCTTCCAAGGCTCTAGAGTGCTTTAGTCTCTCCATCAGCACCTATTCATTACAGATATTTAATTAATATTAGAGCTGAGTCCTAAGGATCAGTTCTTAGATCAATGATATAAATACATTTATCAGTACCTTACGCTCACGATTCTGTTCTTCTACAACCGCTCTAGTTATTGCCATGGCACTCTCGGTTAGCTGCTTTGCCAAAGCTTCAAATCTACCGCCAATTCTGCAGAACGAGTTGGCGAATTTAAAATCTCTGGCAAGTTGGCACCATGGATAGATAAAAAAAGGAATAACCAAAAAAGATAGACGCCATTACCTCTGAATTGCAGGAAGGTTACTATCCAACCAGATGTTTCGATCTTTCATCAGTTCTCGACCTAGTAGCTCCAACTCTTCGCCCCACATGTTCAAACCACCTTGTTCAATGCTTCCCGTTAAGTCCCAGATGTCAATGGCTTCCTTCAGTTCTGCACAGACCCTGGCGTCGACGCTAGGCATTTCGTCCCGTCTTTGTAGAAGATCCCACAGGAACACCATAAACTTTTGTTCCACCTAAACAAAAAAAAAATGTTACTCTAATTCGTGAATGCCTCATCGCTGTATTGTCTTACCTGGGGATGCACTTCCAGAAGAGACATTAAGATTTCTCGCGCTTTAGGCTCCTCCATGAGAGACCTAACTGCATAAACCCTGGTGGCATTGACTTGGTGCGGCCCCAGGAGCCAGACCATAATTCTGGCAGTTATTTTTCTAAAATCTGACCTAGAAGACCACGCGGTACTCCACTGATTCTTCCTTTCCAACGGCGTGGCCAAGCCATGTAGCAGAGTGGAGAACAATCTCCTGGTCAGCTCCATTTCGGACGTAGACGGGCACTTATCCGAAGACGTTACAAAGTCCACAGCTCGGATTAAAATGGTACGAAAACGGTCGTTCAATTCCCCTCTTCCGGGTTCCCGAACAATAGAGCCGAGAGTCCCATGTATGCTGCCGTAACTCGAGGATCTTGAGCCGGGATCGCTCTGCTCACTGGAAGTTGTTAAAGCTGAAGACAATTTAGACATTAGTTAGGAAGCAACCGTGGTAAAGAGAGCGTAAGAACTGCTACGTACCCGATGTCAAGTAAGAAGCCGAGGCGAGGTAAGAAGCTGCACTTCGCAATCGGAAACCAGAATGCGAGGACACTCTTGTAGTTACAGCATCTAATTCTCCGTCGAACAGTGCTACCTGGGCGTCTCTCACGACAGAGACGCACATAGTGTTCGTTCCACATTGAGATCTCTCCTTCAGCTCCATGTGATTCAAGACCAAGTGCAGATCCGTTACGGCTTGCATCTGGTGGCCACCAGGAGACTCCAGCAATTTCGTTGCAATGGCAACGAGCAATACATGGATGTCACGGAAAAGTGAGATTGCACTCCCTCTGTGAGCTGCACCGACCAGGGCACGTCCCAAGGATTCCATCAAGCCTTGCTCCAGCAACATCCTCAAGGCACTTGGATTCTGCAAGACATGCATCCATGAAGCAGTTTACATTTATGTTATTTATTTTTTTTTAAATCCAAGGTACCTTAGTAACCATCTCGGTTGTGAAAGAAACCATTGGCCTCGCTACATTAGGATCGGTGGATGCTGCCTTCGAGATCATAGCTAACAGAGGCGGCATAGCCGCTAAAGTTGGACCTCTCAACGCTAAACTCTCCAAGGCAACCACCAGAGGATCGCTTCCAGGATACAGGGAGATTTGGTTAGCCAAATGCATGAAGTACTTCTGCTTTATGAATTTGTTAACTTCCTCGTCACTGGCTCGCTGAAGGTATGTCTGTGTCACCTGGGGAATAACGTAATTTCATAATTATTCATTATACGTATTCGATCTAGGCGTATCATGGTATCGAAAGATTCCTCACCTTAATTAAAGCCGTCCGAACTCTGGCGTCAGGATTGTTAGCTAAAACCAGGAGAACTTCAGCTCTCAAAACGTGTTTCAAAACGGAGCCAACCTGACTGTCCGGTAGCACTCTCAAAGCATCTCTCAACAATAGCAACAGCCCTTCGCACACCAATCCTTGACAAGCTCTTCGCTCATCCGTCCACGCCATGTGTTTCTCCTATATTAACGTTATCAGTGCTCTTAATTATACCATGATTTTAAATATAAAATATTGAAGTAATATTATACATTTTCGGTTACCTGATGATTTGATCCATCACTGGCAGCGATCCCGGAATCTTCACCGGCACTTGTTTCCTTGGATGGGTCGTTGCGACGCTCCTTCTTCTTGGGTACCCTGCCCTTTTGAATCTGCAATGATATTCAATTTTTATAACGAAGAACATCCAAAATGCTTGCATCATTTCAGATCATTCAGCGTACTTACCTGTACGTTCGCTAATGCTTTATTTAATTTTCCAAGATCAACTAGCCCGATGGAATCATCCGTAGAGCTGTTTACCATCGTTGAATTCATTTTCGTATACGTTGCTTTGTCTTCCAAGGGTGGTAACATGAAATACATATTGTGTCTCGAATGTGTGACGTAGGTCTCCGAAGCCTGATGAACAAGAACCAGGTAATCGGTAATTGCAACGAGGTGCGCAAATTCTGGCGGGGCTCCCATCAAAGCACGTATCAATTCCACAACTGCATTTCCTGTCGTCGGATCCAGCGATGCACCGTGATCTTCGTACATGAAATGCTCCTGTATAAAGAAAAAGTAATGAAAAAGAATAAACGTCTATTTAATCGTGTACGCATAGAAATTACGATTGACGTTCCCCAATAAAATTACCTTGCATAAAATTAATATCGTATCGACTATACCGACTCTGTTGAGCTGCGATGCATTAAATTCTCTCTGCGAGTGTTGGTCCCTGAGCAATAGCAATAAGGCTTGAAGGAACAAGTTCAACGCATCATACTTCGCCCATGTTCTCCAGACACCTAGAGCTCCTTTGATCAATTCAGGATCCGTAATGACGGCCTCGCAATTTTGGGATATCGAGTGATTGCCACTGCCCACATCTTTGATAAGGATGGAACTATCGCACGCTGCGTCCAGGACTGATTTCAAAATGTATCGACCTGCGTAACACCTGGGTGATTCCAGAACTCGAAGAAGAAGAGCCAATCCACCCTCGGAGCGATACTGGTTCAACAGTTCTGAATCGCTTCGAGCTAGGTGTAAGACCATGGAGAGTGCCAAGGCTTGCTCCTCCTCGACAGAGTGCAATTCAACGACCTGGAATTCAAGGTGACACTATTACACGCAATGCAAGGAATAAATATTATATAATGACGTGTAGAGATTACTTACTCTTGCAAATAGATACAGAAAGATTGGTATTCCGCCTATGAGAATCGATGCCGGTACCAATCCTCTGTATTGTTGGCACTCCAATCGTGCTGACAAAATCAGAGGTACCGACAGAGGTGGTTGTTGCGAGACCCTGTGCTCTGGAGCAGAAACAACTCTAAAGCCAGGCTGTCCCGGAAACAAGTTTCTTACGACAGCTACACAATAAGAAATGAAATATTCAGTGAAGAATGCGTAGAAATGTGTCTATACGAGGTTACTTAAAAATGAAAAATGACGTACCTCCTGGATTAGCAATGGCTTGCGGGTACAAGTGAACGATGTTAGGCGTCTGAGCTTCGTAACTGAGTAGTAAATTATCTTGCAAGTCGCCTAAGTGTGAGTTCGTTGCATCCATGACAGCATCCCAGTCGATTTTCGTTTCGGATACTTTTGTCTCGACAACGTGTCTTAGATATGTTCCACCGTAGGATTTACGGCGGTTAGTGTCGAATTTTCCACCCTCTAAGATATATATTAAAAAAAAAATCACTGGCATTATTAGTAAATAATTTCTGTTTTCTAGAGATAATTCATGAAATACTGACCGAACTTCACTTCCTTAACTCCATACAATGCACCAGATGCAATCAGTGGGGTGAAGTCTGGTTTTACGGTATTCAGGATGCAATCAGCGAGATTCGTATAATTCGGTCCTAGGCTTGCAAGATAGAGAGCTCTTTCCCGTGTAAAAACTGGGCATCTGAAAGCATTTAGCATTGTAAATAATATTTAACTGCATAAATTAATGAGATTATTCCTGGCAACATGTATACCTGAATAACATTAAGTTTCCTAGATACCAGGCACCGATACCGCTAGGTCCAACTTGTCCCAGTAATATACAGGTTGTTCCAGGTTTTCGAACCAACAAACCATCGAAAGGCAGTTGGGCACTGGTTTCTCGCCATCCGTCTATCCAAATAACAACTTCGACGACAGCGCTGCGTTTATTAAGAACGGTATCTTTGAAATTTAAAGCCAAATGATGCCACCTGCCCGAGGACAGCATGCCATTTATCGAGGTCTCAGAGATGGTTCGATTTGTCTTGTTGTCGGGACGTGTGAGACGTAGGATTAATTTATCTGAGAAATTATAGAACCGTAATGATAATGGAATGTATGATTGTTGAGTAATTAGCTATATTTTAATTACCAGATCTGAGATCGAGCCATGTTTCCAGCACTAACGATTCAAAGCCAACGGACATTAGATGAATTATAGAAGTGGGTGTCGGGGGAGATGTTGAACCTGCAACAACTACAAGGCATTGTTAAAGTTCTTGATGTTATTCCATATAAAAGTGGTTCAATTTCAATTGCATAGTAGGCTGAGGTTTACCTTCACGACTCCAGTTGTCCGAGAGGACACCCCAGTCCGAAAGACTTTCGCTTTCAGAGTCCAGCAATGTAGATGGTGTGACGATCACACCTCGACTTCCAGTCATCAATCCTCTTTCCACCCTTAGCCACATCGAAGCTGAACACCCGTTCAGCCACACTGGCCACGACAGTTCAGGACCAATGGGCAAGCATGCCGCATGGACAGACCAAGGACTACAAATCCCTGACGTAAGATGTCCCTTTCTGAAATTGTTGACCAGATTCTCCGCTTTCTCCAGATTCTTAAAATCCTCGCTCAGGATTTTCGGTAGGATCTTCACTTCTGACACGACGGGAAAGCAAAGGATGAAATTTGGTTGAGGCCTGGCGGCAAAGACCAGGCGATAGAGAGGTTCCAAAAGAAGTAATAACGGTGGGGAATGGACTTTGAAGAAGGACAAGTAAAAAACCAACTCCGTTGGAGAAATGGATTGCGTTGCCAAGAGCGTAAAGACCTCCAGTACGGCATGCTGTAAATCTAATGGACAGAAAATGCAGTGAATTAAAATAATAAAAACCCTTGAATCGAAATTCTTATAGGACGAAGTCCTGTACCTTGATGCTGAGAATCCTCGCTAGTGAGTATATCCTTGAACCCATTTAATATCCTCGTTATTGCTCCCGATCCTGCTAATGCAGCACAACTAGAAGCACTTTCTCTGCAAGTGACGGCTACCCTTCGTAAGCCGGCCGTCACGATGGCACTTCTATCACCTTCTAGACCCCTGCGAATGAACCCGTAAATTAGAATAAAATAATTCCACCGTGTTGATCGATAACTCACTGTTTGCTGAAGTGGATAAGGAGATCGAGAGCTAAGGAACACAAAGCTGGATGAGCATTCGCATGTCCTCTCGGTTCAACTATCGGACCAAGGGAATTGTTCCTCTTGGGTGTATCGTTGCGAGAACATTTCCCTGGCACTTCGACATCTGCCTCGTAGCCATCATCGGCTGTCACGTATTCACCGGTGCTGGTGTCCTCTCCGTAACCATCGGGGAAGGTTTCCAGAAATATAGTGGGTAACTAAAATTAAATACAAAGGTTCAAGCGCATTGTGCCTAGCTTTTACCGCGTTGTTTTAAAGTACAACACTTACTCGAGGTCTAGTTTGTTGAGGTACCGTTTGTTCCTGGCTTGGTCTCAGCATGGACACCCTCAGCAACGCCTCCACAAGCATGGCAATCCCACGACTGAGTTTCACTCCCGAGGTAATCAACGTCTTGCCCAACTCGGTAACCACATCGCAGCCACCTGAACCACACATTGTATTTAAAGAACAACCTAGAAGATGCGACTTAAAAATATCATACATAAACAATGACGCCGTGAAGTAAGTAATATACGAATGGCACAGTAAGAGTGTCAACGGAGTATATGTCGATCCGTCTTGGAAAACGCAGGTGATTAGTATCCGTATTTTAATCCGCAGCTGCGAACTTGTTGTCCCCACTGCACGCATTAAAAGCTATTCAAATCGCGCCGTAATTCAACGTTAGTTATATAAAGGTGGATGCACTTACACAATGGTGACGTCAGGCAACACGTTATTAAAGCTTCGAACAGTCTATGTGCAGATTTACTTGTGTCTGGAAAAGAAAAAATATATATATAAATACTTGTACGACCCACACGTTGTTAAAAGTTCTTCGTGTACGTCTTATCGGTCTTACCTTTTATACGATCGGAAATGACACAAATGGCCAGTGATTTGAAGAGCGTCATACTGTCCTGGAAGACAGGGTGTTCCGATAATTGCTGCCGGAACTTAGGACTGCAAAGTGCAACTCCTGCGGCTGCTCGCCAAGCTGCGCTGGCCTGATACAATATCATTTTTCTACCGATAGTTTTCTCCTTCAAACTTTCGTCATGTATCATCAAAAGTAATTTCCTTTCCCGTGCAAACGTCTCTTCGTTTGCAAGTATCCGAAGATCAGTCTTATTTGGGGTGCTCTCTGCATAAGTATTATCCTCAAGCTGAGATCGCGAAACTTTCATTTGGCTCAATGTTTCCGAGTTACTTAAATCTAATGCACCGGTATCATTTTCTTCGACTAAGTGATTATTCTGCTTTCCGTGCTTTGTTCTCGTAGGCTCCTTATTTTTCTCTTCTTGCTTCAACGGTTCGAGGACCTTCAACAACGCCGAGGTTTCTCTTTCGAGAGCTCCGAATAGAGAATTTATCGCAGGTGACTCGTTTTTCCTGATATCGCTTCTATCCTCGCAAGAGGATTTCCAGATTTCCATAATGACGGATATCTCCAGCAGCGCATAGACGATCCTGGTGAAAGTAGAGTCGGGCAGCAATTCGAGCGCTTCGTCGAGTCCATTAATTTCCATGAACTTCTCGCACATAGGTGCATTGATTATGAGGCTAGATATGACCGACAGGCAAGATTGGACGAGAAATTTAGCGACGGCATTTCTGCTATCCTCGGCATAACAGGCCTTTGCTTTCAGAAAGGTCGGATAAAAGACCCTGAAGAGAAGTTCCTGCCTAACAGGAAAGATAGAATTTGGTGTCACCTTTAGGAGATGAGCCATGATGGTATAAGACAATTTAGGATCATCCAGAGTTAACAGCTTTCCGTAGAGCTCTAAAAACTCCCAAGAGCTATCGATAGGTTTATTGCACGTGTTGCAGGTATCGGTCCCAGGATAAGCGCCAAGTTCCTTGAAAAGGGTCCGCTCCAAAAGAGCAACGGCTGGTCCGTACGCCTGAGGGTTTCTCTTCCTCAGGAAGGTGACGATGCTCGACAGCAGAGTCTTCGGTGGGATGCAGCAGCATGTACCAGCAGCCGTCATCACTTTCAGCAACCTGACTTGCAACTCCCCGATGAACGAGTGAGACTCCTTCAACAAGGTGGTCAGGGTGACGAAGAGCGACGAGATGCAACACACCTGGACCGCGAGAGATCCAACGACCGGCTGCGAATACGCTACTCCGAGGACGTCAAAGTGATGATAGCTCTGTACATTGTCAGAGCAGGAACGATGTTTAGGCCTGCGGCATTGGCCCATGTGGCAGAGATCTTGGCGCACCCGTTTCAACGCACTTATCAAGGCGCCTATCATGTCGATGACTTTCCTGGCTCTGGTCACGGACCTGGCCTGATCGATGCTCGGTAAGCCAACAATCGCCAGAATGGTTCTCTCCACCAGCCTCCCATCTTGACTGTCGGTAAATAGCTGGAAGAGCTCGAGAAAATCCTTCAGTTTCTCCGTAGTGCCCCGCTGATGTAACAGACAATAGAGAAAAGTGATGATACCGTACGTGGTGGCAAATATGAATTCCTGCAAGAGTGACCCCTCCTCTGGGGTGAGAAAAGAGACCGGCTTACTGCAGGCATCTTCCAGCAATCTCAGGGTCATCGGCAACAGACCGTTATGAATGACCGCCGTGGTGGGCTCGTCCGCTCTGAGGACTCTTTCCAAGGCAGTCAGCATGAGTCTTGCCGCAGCTGCCTTCAACGTGGCGCATTCGGTCCCCGTTAAGTTGGAGCCATCGATGCTGAATTGCAAGGCCCAGAGGGTATCCAACGCAAATTTCAAGACCTGCACAGCCGGGGTCTGTTCCGCAGGAGTGTCGTAGTCCCTCAAACCTTGCAAAAGCTGGACGATTAATAAGCTAGCCTCGAAATGACTGACCCTGCAGTCTAAGACGGCCTTTATCCTGTCGTCTATGTAATCCTGCGGAGTTTTCCGTATCGGACGGGGTGGTAGCTCGTACAACGAGGCGTTCCACTTGTACTCCTCGTCGCTCCTAACGACGGACGTAAAGTACTCAAAGTCCATGGGGTTCAATCGTATCTTCAACGTTAACGATCTTGCCTGGTCGATGCCATCGGTCAGCATCTCGGACTCGCTACTCTGATTATCCCCCGTGCATTCTTGCTTGTGTTTCTGCATCAACGATTTGCCGCCTGTACTGTGTCGGCGAATCCTCTTCTTCTTCGAGTGCACCTCGTTACTGCTCTTGATCTTCGTAGTGGTTCTCTTCTTCGTGTGAGGTACGATGTCCACCGTGTCGACGATATCGTCGTTGCTGTGGAACTTGATGTAGGGGTTGCGCTGTGCACTAGCACCTGGAACGAAGCGATTAAATCAGTGTACCGACGATTTGTTTACCTGCGTGCTACCGATAAAAAAAAATAGAGCTCTTATTGTTCAACCGACGTGAGCGGCGCCACATTTCAAGTTACACTTCGGCAAGCCAGTCCGAAGTAAGGCTCGACGAATGTCTACGCTGCAGCAGATACACAGTAGGCGTGTCTTCGCTCGATCTGAGAATGGGTACCAAAGTATACCACAGCTGCAATATACGTCACGTATGATATAGCTGCGGTCTACTTTTGACGGCTATATCAGTACCCGCAGAAAAATACCTTTCATTATAATATTTATAAAATTAAATGGTTGACTAATCACGTGGACGCGTAGCCGATAGAGTGGATCAATAGGAAACACTAGACGTAAACACTCGAGGGTAATTCAATACAAAGTAATTATCCAGTTTCTAGAAAACGAAGATTTCGAGCACGATCGGCTATGGATCCAGTTCCTTTGTGGCCCAGACTGGAACTAAACGCGGAACTACGGGAAACCATGCAAGAGGTGTACGAGTTCCATCAAAGAGGAAGAGGTTTCGTCTTATCGAGGCTCACTTGCAGGTTCAGCTCCGTCCTGGGAGGCGACCGGGTAGAGAGCCACCAGGAGCGCAACGAGCTCTCGGCTGCAAGAGAGACCGCGGACTCCCAGAAGGTGGAGAACCGAGAGACACCTCCATCCGCGATCCTGGACGAGGTACTTCCGGAGGCCCAGCAGCTCCCCGCCGTCGACTCTCTGGGCGCAGAGATCGTGCACGTCGGAGAGAAGCTCGCAGGCGACGAGAGTGGACACGCCGCCTCCGTCGACCGAACTGAAACAGTATAGTTGGTTAGGTCATGGAAAGTTTCGTGACATTCCTTATCGTTCGTAGGTGTATACTGCTGGTGCATGGTCGATGTACTCGTCCACCGACACAATGACGAGGGCGATACATCTTTACAGAAAGTTTGTCATAAGTCTCTGTACACTTTGACTAAAGTTCCGATAACTCGCCCCTCGGTTAATCGGCACGATTCTAATGTTTGCCAGAGAACGGTAGAGCGTATCAAGAGAAAAACATATCACGAGGACGGAGGCGTGACTCCGGATCGATCTCGACTCGGTTGACATCGGTCAACAGGCGTAAGATGTAACGCGACGCCGAAGTGTAAAGGCTTACCAAAAGGACAGGACATCCTTCGCCTCTCGTCCTTCCTTCACCTGGGCGAGCAGTTCAGCGAGGAACACGTCCAGCCAGGATGATTTCTGCAAACCAACAATCATATTAAATTCCCTTTCCTTCGAGTTCAACCTGACGGTGTTTAAACCTCCAGGCTAATAGTAACGCCGAAAATCATAAGGGTTTAATTCCAGGAAAATCTCCGAGCTCAAGTAATCTCTGATAATTCGGATCATCCGGATTGGGATTTGCAGACTTTGATCACTGCCCCTTCTACACCTCGCCAGAGTTTCGAGGAAGATCGTGCGGCCAAATAGTCACGTCCACCCTGCTTTAATCTATCCAAATCCGCCGTCTAATACTCAACGGTGACTCCAGAATAATCCAGTGGAAAAATGATCGTAAATGCACGTGCAAAGGTCATGGTGGAGCTGATACGTGCGTTTGGCGAATAAGTGAGAAAAAAAAAGTTTCCAACAATGTAAGTTAAATCCATGTCGGGCGCGACGGTGAGTCACCGCTGAAGGAAAAGTGCGTAGCGAAAAAGTCCAGCAATATAATAATAGCGTCGACCGATTCGCGTTCGAGTCGCTTTACATAGAGTGCGGGTTTTAAGAGCTACGGGGGTCTGTGGTAATTGCATTACACGTACACATGACACAGGTTCCCTCGACACAGACCTCGGAGCCATTGTGTTGGTCCGGTGTCTCGTAAGTCATCGGCTACCAAGGTAAACTCGAAGACCGTACAGAGGCGTCGCTGTTACGAAATGCAAACCTCGATATTGCGAATACTAGTAGCCAGAGTCGTCCCGTAACATTCCCCCAACGTTAATAATATTCACCGTGTAATTACCGTACGTCGAGGTCGCGAGTTGTTCTCTTACTCAACTAACACCGATCCTCGCGGATCGACCGAAGGATCGGACTTTTTATACTTCGATGCCCCCCATCAATCTCCCTTCTTTTTATCCCCATTTCTTGGTCTTATTATCGTCCTTATCGTGCAACACACTTTCTCCACGAGCGGGTGGTATATCCTTATCACGCAACGCCGGCATCGGCCTCGAAGGACGCCCTCTCCCTGCACTTCAGGATCGCTTCTGTCACCCTGAAGGACATATACGAACGCCCGAATGCCGTCTGGCTATCGAAATCCGTGGCGATAACCACATCCCAGGGCGGGTTAATTAATAGGGTTTGATTACATCGGTCATGGTTTGAATTTCCATACCAACCGTTTGTAGCATACCGCAGCAGCGAGAATGTATACCGCACAAAATCGGCGAGATCGCGCTCGGCTCGTGTGTTTACATTACTTTCGTCGTGGTTTTGTTGTTCGGGAGCTGCGTTCTGCTGGGGACATTCGTCCAAGGTTTGGTCGGGTTCGTTTTAATAAAGAAACGACGATTACGCACGCCCCGAATGGCAACCATAGCGGAGTATCGGTTACCTCGTAGCTCTGGGGCTCCGCGTGGATGAAATGGTCCCAAAGAACCTGCAGCTTGCTCGGCATCGACGAGGCGTTCATCACTGAGGCTCGTACGAGTTCCTCCTCCCTCTCGGTCAGTCCTTCGGAATGATCCCGGGCTCGGAAAGTCGATCCATCGCCGCAGGACTCGACGAGCGAGTCGGCCGGATCACCTGCGAAGCGCCCGAGACTTTGAATACGCGAAGTAAGAATCCCACGCCGAGTGACGGACACGGTGGCTAATCCGCCGATTGGACGGTGTGCGTTTCAACCGCATCCCGCGTGTGTGGCGTGCGTGAACATCACTTACATAACATCCCCACATTCCCGATTGACCAGTTTCTATCTTTGAGAAGCCTGAAAGCTTTGCCGGGGAGCACTAACCCCTGACTACCGACCGTCCCCCGATAAGCCCCGTTTTGTCACCTCCCAATTATTCGCTGATCCCTGTTTATCGCTTTTAACCCTTGCGAGGGTTCGCGTGGAACCACCCCTGTAACGGGCGTGACTCCGGGGAACTAAGCTTTCAACTACCCGCAACTTACATCCTCGGTACCTATGGTTTAATCGGTAGATTAATTATAGCAATCGACGGCAATCCGTGGAGTAACTACCGGAGTATGGTTTGAAGTCTTCTTCGGCGACGGAGGTCTCCGTCGACCTGTCGGCTGGAGGCCCTCGAGCCAGTTCCTTCGACCGAATCCCCGGAAGATCCACCTCGGCGACCTCGTTGGTCCCCACGCCGGCAGGAACCAATCGGAGCGCTGAACCTCTGGCGAGCCCCGAAGAAGTTTCTCCAGACACCGCGGCGTTCCGCTGACTCACTGTGGTGCAAAGCAATGAATCATTAGACTTTCTCCTCCTCTTTTCGCCTATTCCTATTCTCTTCGCGAGGGCTGAAAACTCCGGAGATAGGCGCACAGATAAGAACGGCACCCGTAATCATGCTTGATAAGCCGGAGACCATCGTAGCCATCCCGTCCTTCCGCGGTAACTTTCGATGTCTCGAGTCCTGGCAAACAGGACTTCCAGGACTTCACAGACCCGGGTATGGATACTTTGTTTCCGTCCCACGAGATCCGGGACTCTTCCTCCGATGCGATCGGTAGCTCGGTAGAATTCCAATTTCCGAAGTCACGTTACTTGCACTACACCCGTGACTATCGTGGCGCGAACCCTCGTCTCGACTCTCTAGACCCCACCGACTGACGGGGCTTTCTTTCCTCCCGACTCGGAAAACAAAGATAATAACCGACACGTGCAAACAAATCGAGACGCTTTAACGCCGTTAACTGCGAGACGGGCTCGATCAATCTCTCTCGACTCCTCGATGGCAGCTCGTTATTCTACGGTGCTCCGTTATGCTTCATTATGGTGCCCCTCTTATCTGCAGCCTCTATTCGTAAAGACTTTCTTTAATTAACTGGCGGTGATAGCAGCCACATACTTCGCGAATCTCACGCCACTTACTTAACGTTGAGGCTGAAATGAGAAAAAGGGCTAGATTAGCTACAACGACGCTGCGACTCGTTATCCTTTACGACGACAAGCAACGATGGAGTCTGTCGATCATAATTGATTTCCATGACTTAATCTATCATCTGTTTCTAGTTGCACAATTTTACATATCCTTTCCAGGCAAAGAAGGTATTACGTAAGATATTAACTTATTCTACGAATACTTGGAAATTTCGTTCGATACCTAATGCTTTTGTATTTATGGAACAAAGTACCGTTGCCATAATTCTGAAATGCATCTATGGATCCAACAGAAAATACTGAGTAGGATTGCGGGAGAATTCTCGAGTCTGCGAGCGATACGAGTTGGATTCCAATTATCGGCAGGGTCCTAGCGTTGGGATACTTTCTACAATGTATCCACTTATCGTAAATATTTTTCTCGCTTCTACCAAGCGCCACCCAAAGCTGATAAGGAGAGCAACCTTCGTATTTAGCTAGCCTACCCAATATAAGAAAAAGCCGCCTTATCGTACACACCGAATGAAGTTTCAACTTACGTCACGTTCCCGCCACTCGGCTCGTATCGTCTATCGACCGATCGGTTCCTCCCTCTGCGAGTTAGCGTTGCTTCTGACCAACCTAACCTCGTCAAGGCCCAGTTTCCACTCATTTCATAATTCCCTTAAATTTGGAAGGTATTCGCCGAGTCTTCGCAGAACGTTCTTTTTAATTTCGCAGCCCACACACGTTTGACTTTGCCGGAGATTTACACGACGCTGCTCCGTTGCTGGACAAGGCACGTTGTCGAGCGCCTCTACCGGATCGGTTGCTCCAATCTTCCTTATCTTTCGCGGGAACTTGAAAGTTTTTCGACCACTCTGAAAATAAAAGACAATATGAATTATTCGCACGCTTCGAGTTTACAGGTTTCCTCGATTAATGGGCAAGGAAATATCGTGTTAATAATTGTGGTTAAGCGAGAGATCTCGTAGGTAATTTTTACAATCACTCTGGGCGCCATCTCTGAGAGTACGGCGGAAACTCTAACCTAGCAACGCACGCAACCCGAGGACCGGTATGGAAGAGTATAAATGAATCTAACCTCAAAGAACCGTTAGGACCGGTCTCCGCTCAAATGCGGAGGTAAATATTTCACGAACAAACGAAAATTAACGGAATATGAGTGTTCTAGGGAGATTCCGTACACCATGCTCGTGGAGTGGAGGCTCCAAGCAAGTATCCGTAGACGCGGTGATTCCTCTCTTCGCAGTGCCAATTTTGGCAGTAGTCGCAGCTCAGACACTGCTGTGTACTATTCTTATCTTTTTAGCGACTCCTCTTTTAGTATATTATCTCCATCATAATTTCCTGCGGTTCCTACTACGAACCAAATTTTTCCTTGTATGGACTATCGTCAGTGTGTTAATGTTGTTGCTAGTCTTCGAGATCTGTGTTGTACCACTCCTAGAGATCTTGCCAGAGGAGAATTTCGTATTTGTAAGCTATGTAGTTGGAGGATTATGGTGTGGTTATAAGACGAGGTTGAAGGCAGATCATGCCACCCAGGACAGTATCATCGCACAAGGTCTGGAATTAGGAGAGGGGAGTGGAGAATTGTGCACCTCGTGCAGAAGACGAGCACCTCCTAAAGCTTATCACTGCCATACGTGTCAAACCTGTATATTGGGCAGAGAATACCATTGTAAATGGTAGTAGAAATTATTAATTATTTTTTTGGATGTATCATATTTATCAGAGAATTGTTAGGATAAAAGTTATAGCATGATTTAGTGAAACGACTCGTTACGTTCGTTTTATTTCTGACCGTTTTATCTTTCAGGCTTGACTGCTGTGTGGGATCCGGCAATCTTCGATGGTACCTTGGTTGTTTGTTTTTCTCAGGAATTGCATTTATTTATGGGTCTTATTTAACTATAACAAGTGTTTGTCATCCTTTCATATTGATTGGAACCATTCTTTTACCGGATGACTGCAGTGAGGTATATTACCAGCTTGAGTAAGTGTAAATATAAAAATTTATTTTGGCATAATGCGATTAAACTAAAGACAATTGTCATTTCTAATACAATTTTCTGAGTGAAGTCAATAGAATACAATAGTGCTTACTTATTTTCTGAAAACAGAAGAATTTGTTTCTCCTATTTCTTAAGCAATTGCCTCTGGCTCTTTACTAATATATAATAATCTGTGTATTATTTCAGCCTTGCTCTTTGCTTTGTCTCAGCAATCTATAGTCTACTTGCTGGCCTAGTCATGTTCATTTACTTTGTTTATCACCTCTGGCTCATTTACCTGGGAACCACGTCAAACGAACAACGACACTTAGTGATTGGAAGTCGTTACGAAGAAGGAATGCTAAAGAACTTATCTCGATTATTCTGCTGCAAGAGTTAAGTGTCAATTTTAAACTAGATTATTGACTCTATGGGTCTTGGACTTCTTTACTTTGTCTGAAATAGGATTAATTATCTGACTGATTCGAGCAAAGCCAATCGATAAGCCAATGAAACAAGGTTATTCGATACCTAATCAGGATAAAAAAGATTATTTTTGTATTCTTTTATCCCGATCCTAATCGAATTGTATATATGGTGCTGTTAAGTTTAGGGGAATTTCGTCATCTCTTGTTTACATGCCCCTTACTAATAAAGTATTATTGAAAAGATCTGAATAGTGACATATCATGAGGCAGCTTAACTTAGTTACATTTACTTTCTGTACGTTTTTGTGCATGCACAAAAGTATTTATTCTACCTGTGATAAAATGGCCACTGTATGTTAAACAATGAGTAATAAATTGTACAAGTCAGTTGATAACAAATGTCTTGATCTTTATCACCTACTCATTCTATTTAATCCTAAAAGATATGAGAAGAATAAGTTACAATTCTAAATATAAAAATAGAAAATTTCAAGCTGTAAATCACAATTCTCAAAATTTAAATGTGATAGCTAATGATTAATTTACAAATTCTCTTTACCGTTCAATAGTCTATAGCAACACCCCTTTGCTTCGGATCAAAATCGGGTACGACCCTTTGAACCAATTCTCTCCACTTATCTCGTCTCCTCTCACTTTCTTCAATTTCACCAGCGATCTGAAGATATTTTTTCAACATTTTGAAATATTTCTGCTTTAATGTTTGTTCATATTTTTCTTCAGCTAACCGCTGTTTTTTCAATTCTTCCATTTTGCTTTCCAGCGTTCTGTTATACCAAACCTTCATACACCGGACCATTACACGCATGTCATGAAAATCTATTGCAGTTTGATACTTTTGAGTTTCAAGCTTCGTCAACTTTCTCCAATGAATTAATGCATGCCATAACATGTTTCTTTCGTGTACTGTAATAACTAATTCCATCTTAATTCGACCCTGCCTTAGTGTTTCTGCATGCCATGCCTTAAAAACCCTCCGTAGTAAAATTTGTGTATAACATTTTTGGGCCTTTTTAATGTAATCGTATTTCATTTCTATGAGTAATATTAGTGGATCCATAATGTATCGCCGCAGAAGATACTTCCTATAGAATTGATCTGCGGTTGCATTTAACTTTTTACTCTTTTCGGCTTCTTTAGCCCGACGTTTCTCCTGCTCCTCATGAAGTCTCCTGGCATCTTTTAAAGCCTAACGATCCACAATAATTAAGTATTAAAGAATAATTGTTTTGTAAAAATCAAATATTTACCTCTTGCTGTGCCTTCTTCCTGTTTTCCTCCTCTTCTGTCTTCTTCGCCTCCTCTATTTTTCTCTGTTCTTCAAGTTTTCTGGCTCGAGCTTCTTCGGCTCTTTTAATTCTTTCCCTTCGTGCTTCCGCTCGAGCTTCCATCCTTAGGAGGAATTGTGGTGGAGTGGGCAATCTTGGTGCTGCTTCCAAAACTTTATCCCTTTAATGGATAAACAATAAAATAAACAGTTGTCAATCGCAACAAATTGTCTCCAAAGAAGTTGTTCTACCTATAGCCTTCTTCAAGCATCAGGTGTATCAAGCTTCTACGAGTCTTTCGACCACAGTGGACGAGAGTTTCCTTCACAGCATTTAATGTCTCTTTACCAGCATTCCGAGTGTCGTTCTGCAATTGCTGCAATTTCATTTCCTCAATGATTCTATTTTGTTCGGCTAGTTTCATTCTTTGTTCGGCAATGATTTTCTTCTGAGCATTTAGACGATTCTCTATTGCTTCAGTTCCAGAACGTCTACCACCTTGAATTTTTTGCGATATATCACTACATTTACTATGCTGTATTTGCGTAGCTGATTTCCTTTCGGACAATTTTTGCATTTTAGTAAGCTGTTTCTGCTTTTCTGTAATTGCACTTAGGAAGAGTTCAATTTTATGCTCATCCAGTGTATTCGAAGATGCCGACTTTTTCCGAGCAAGCACTTTGGTAGTATTAACATGAGATCTCCACATTTCAAAATATCTTTGCAACCTTCTTCGGGCGATCTTTCCTTGTACTGTATTTTTTATATTACGTAAACGTTGCTGTTCATAAGCATATAGTTTCAAAGCGTCAAAACATATCCTAAGTGTCTTAGCATTTTGTTCCTTTATCTCAGACATTGGCTTGTCTTTGATAGTAACTTTGATGCTTCCCAGACATGATTTATTATCTTGATTAACGTTGTTCCCATCTGCTCTCTCGTTATTAACCAATTTATTAATAACTTTTTTCCTTGGTATGAGCAAATCTTTTTTTTGATCTTTGTGAGAGACTATTTTCCAAAATTCTGAATTACTTGAATTAGCTAGTACCTTTCTATTACATGCATTCCCCATGGAACACCGTGGTCGCGATTCGCTGAGCGTTTTCTCAAATTTCTTTAATTCCGACTCAAGTATTCGTTGTCCTCGTTTCTGATACAGAGTTTGTACTTCCTCGCTGATCAGTAGTCTAGAAATGGATCGAGAGGCAGGGACCATAAAAATTATAAAAATTGCCAAAACATTTTGAGTAAAATACAAATAAAGGAAATTCCTACCTTTTTGCTTCAGCCAAAATTGCATCTTGAGCTGGCGAAAACTGCAGTGGCTCCTGAAATATTTTGTGCCTCGCATTCATAATTATGTTGGGGTCCAGCTCCGCCGTGCCTTTATCTTGCAACATAGTTATCTTCTCTGAGACACCGAAGATCGGTACGTCTGCCAGTTGCTGCAGCATGTCCTTTATTTCGTTGGGCTGCACCACTTTCGTAGTCATTTCTTTAGGGAAGGATTCTACAATAAAGTACAATTACTAATCGATTACACGTAGTAGGCAATACATAGACTGGTCAATTACAGGGTTTGTTTACGCGTTTATTCTGTTGTTAGGGGAAATGTGAGGGGAGCAAAGCTTGTCATGCGACACCATCGATTATTCCAGCGACCCATAAATCGCTCCCATCAATACATAACCGCCCAAGTAATTTAAAAATCCGCTACCTCCTTACAGCCGAACTCTCCGACCACTTCTGACATTCCGATCTCGAGTTTTAAACAGTTTTAAAACTTCGATCCACAGGTGGCCGGCGCGGAGATACTTATCGGCAGATAAAAATAGATTGTCCCATGCAGAATGCGGAACACCGACATAAGATACCTCGTTCGAGGTTCTCGCACTTCGCACAATACACACAAGATGGCGACCCACAAATTTTGAAGCAGTAAAACGTAGCCACGCTAGATGGCGCGAATAAGGTTACCGACCGCCTGAGACCATCCGCGAGCTTTCGCTTCTCTTCTTTAGATCTTTGACAAATTACAGCGACTGATAATTAACACCTTCCGTACCCTTCCAAGATTAGCCGTACGAGACTGCCTAAACTTTGCAATTAATATTTCACGCCATTTTGCCGATACATCTGCAATCCAGTCGAGGACAATGCAACCCGGTGGGTTTTCTTTTTTTGTGTCGGATGCGCGATAATAATTCCAAGAAGCGGGCCCTCGATCGTTGGGGAAGTACCGCTACTCGTATTAACGAGTACGCTGGTAATGGCGCCGACCAAATCGAGGAGGATCGGGAATAAAGTCGTAAATTGGTCGCCGGTGAATAATGGGGATCGGCGCTGTTCTTTGCGTGGACCGGTAAGGAGGCTGCATTAACGGTTCACGATGCGACCACCTGGCGCAGACAACGTTCAGCGTCGAGTTCGACCGAGTTCTCGATATACCAGGTGTAAAAGCCAATCTCCCTCGTAACGCTCGTTGAACTCGCCTCGGAGTCGGCCAAGGATCGATCTTAAGTCGATCGATTGATCGCTGTAGTAGGACATTATGGCAGGTGACATTACGGATTAGAGATGAAATCGAAACTACTCGCCGAAAAACTTACGAAAACGTCTTCTCTTTCGCGTCGATTTCTAACCTCTTCGGGCAGATATTTTATTAGCGCTACAGCGACAAGCGGCAAGCGAGAAATGTCGGCTTGCGACAAAATTTTCGTCGCTTTAATGAAGTAAACCTGCACTAAACCAGTTAGGGCATGAGACGTTGCAGAAAAGTCTGAAATGTTGACCTTTTGTGCGGCAGAAATCGCCAAACGCCCGACAGAAATTTCCCCATTCCGCTGTTTCACTGCAGCCAATCAGAACCTCTTATTCGCGCTTCGTAGTTCTGTCGCTTGCCACCGTAGCGCTAACGAGACATCGGCCTTAATACGCGTGAAAAACCCCGGCACTGTAGGTTTGATAGTTTTCTCAAAATTAATTCCTAAAAATGACTTAAAAAACAAACTTCTAGACGGTAATACTTCCTTAACCGTCAACGCGGCGGCTTCTCGAAACCGCCGACATGAAAAACTGCAACTATTGTATAAATAATGAAAAATAAAGTAATATATATATGCATTAAAGTGCCAGGGGGATGCGCGGACAAAAATCTCGGGAAATCCTGTTCGGAGCAGCGCGAAATATATGTTTAACCCGCGACAATAACCGGATAATGCGCGCCGGGGATTTATGGTTCTCTTGCGTGTTAACGACGCGATCGGACTAGCAGAGCAGAAAAGGGAAGAGACGTGGAAAGGGAGACTTATCTCGAGAGCGAGAGCGAAGGAGAAAAAGGGCTCGACTGCGTTTCCATTAAATAAACATCCTCTGTTGTGAAACGCGGCACGGAACGATGTCCGAGTGTTTCGTGTGTCGTGACCACAATCCGGATCCCGTAAACCGTTCGACTCTAACTAAAAAATATTCGCCTATCAGCAAAGGAATGGCACTATGATCGTGAATGCCAATTGCAGGAGAAACTCCTGGATTCAGCCATTATAAATCCTGCATTACCGTGACCGACAACGTCATTCTCCTCATTACTACGTTAACCCTCTATGGGCCGAATTTTTCATTAAATAAAAAAAAATTGGGGGAACGAAAAATCAGCAACTAGGAACCTATATATGCAAATGAAAAAAAAATTTTTCATTTAAAATGTGACCTGAAAGTTACACGGGCCCATAGAGGGTTAAGTGTTATCAGGTTTTGAGGTTATGTCGTTATAAACCATACCCAATTTATATTTTATTTAGGTTAACGAGCTGCGTCGAGACATCGCAAGGGTTAATATATTAATTGCGAGAAATTACTCACTTTGAAGGAGTCGAGGTGATCGCAAGGCTTCGAAGTCACACCTTGGCCCGTTCTTGTCACTCGGAGGGAGCTTAACGAGGAGTGGCATCGGACCACACAGGACTTATCTCCGCACAGCGTGGCATCCGAAGACGTATAATTGCCTCCCCAGGAACTCGCCGATCGGTAAATCACCGTAGACAGCGATTACGTCACTTGCCCTTGGAAGAACGGAGAATGACTGAAATGGATCTCGCCACGGCGTGTCGGTATTCCTGTAAACAAGAAGGTGACATCTCGCTCGACGTTTTGCCCTCACCAGGCAGTCCGGTTTTTCCTCGAATGTCGATCAAATTAAGCGAGCGTAGCTGGACCGTAGTCGGCGTTCCACCGGGCTCTCCGAGGGTGGCATCGCGTGTTCCAAAATTTCTTTATCAGGGGGAATCCGAATATCGTTAAAACCGAGCGTTCGGTATTGGTCGTTAGATAGCGATCTGCCAATTAAAGTAGCCGATAACGGCGATTTCGTGACCGGCGAGACTCGGTTCCAGGGCGACTGGCGAACCGTCACGTGAGCATACTCCTCGAAAGCACGTTCCCTCTTTTGTTCCTCGGGTTCCTCGCTCTCTGGTGGAGATCGCCGATCCCAAAGGACCCGAGGCGCCGGCCCGTGGGCGGCGATCCCGTTCCCGGTTCTCCTCGAGCCGTGCTCCCGCACTCCGCTCTATGTACCTCGTGGTTTACGGTTGCGAGTGCAAGTGCGTAATTAATGCGATCGACGGATTAACGGTAATAAGTCCTGCCGCGGCCACGCCCGGAAGTCTCGGTGCGGACTTCGCTGTCCGATAAATCTTGTAAATCTAGGAACACATGCGCGGCCTAACGCCATTCGGAACGATGGCCGTAATGGCTGCTTCCTTCGATACGGAACGGAATCTTTTTTTAGTGCTCTTTTTTTTCTTCCCCGCTTCGGTGGCGAAAATATGGTCTCACGGTTCGTTAGCAGGATCGAAACGGACTTTCCGGCGGATCCGAAGACTATGGACGCTTGTTACGTTTTTTCTTGGTCGGCCCACTCGGGCCCAATCAAATCGGTGCATCCGCGCAAGTCACGGTTCGGACTAGTCCGGAGTGTCGTGCGCGAGCAGAAATAACGGGCCGGTCCGAGTTTTCAGACTCGAGGCCGATTAAATGTAATATTTCGTAACGACGCCGTGCCGATCGATCACCGACCAGCGAAAGGGCTCTTCCGGCATTGCCGATCGTGGCGCGCAAGTTTGAACCGATTCGAACGCGGCGCTCTCTAGCGGAGTCGCGTCAAAACTCGAGACCGCACTACCCGCTGCCCGATCTCGATATTACGTTCGGCACAACGACTCGTTTCCTGGGATTTTCTTGAGAGTTTCGGTAAAATGCGGTAAAAAGCAATAAAATAAGTAAAATACCATCGTGTCGGTGTACGTTAAGCCACGTTTGAGGTTATGTCGCCGTGGCTGCGAGTGAGCGCCTCCACCTAGTGGCTCCTCCTAGTTACTTCCTGCGAGTCTGCCTGCGAAATTATCCGTGTAATTAAGTCGGAATCGAGGTGGCAGTGCGCGACGACGAACCGTCCCCGAGGATTCTTAAGAGCGGCTTAATACCCTCGATCGAAGCGTGCAGTCGTTACTTTCGTAACGCCAGAGGTCGTTGCACTCACCGGGGGCCTTGAGCTTCCGTCGATTTTTCGCGGCGGCCATTTCGGTGAAGAAATTTCACGCATGGGCCCATCGAAGGTGGTCTCTACTCTCGGAATTAACCTCACTTCAACCGAGGATGTTCATTGGTTGGCTATGGCAATGGTTAGGTCGTAGGGATGCGCCACTAAACCCGAAAAAAAACGGGGTATTCACTCAAAAAATCGTGGATTTTTAGGTTCGGAATCAGCTGGAAATCGGAAGCAGAAATCACTGGAAATCGTTGGAAATCGCCAAAACACAAATTTAAGGCCGACCGTCACTTGTTACCGAATCGCATTCTTGTATGTTATATGAAATAAAGGGCAATCGACTCTCAAAGAAGGAAATTATTTTCCCTGATTTCCGAGTTAACAACCCCTAGGCGAAAACCATTTCTATTTATGTATCTCAGTCCTGGGCTGCAGGGAATTCTTAAATACAGAGAAATTAATTTTTACGGGCTTAACATGCCCAAACTAGCCGTTAAAGGGATGTGAAAGTCGCGTCATAGAAGTCTCATTTATGAAACATTTCCTCAGAATTGTGTGTACTGAATCGTTTCAAACTTGACAATGTGAATACAGAGGCTATGAAGGAGGTCCTGACATACACAATGTATACGTATTCATGTATATTTATACAATTACATATAGCCTTCATATTCATATTGTGAAGTTTGAAACGATTCGGTACACCCAGTTCATAGAAAAGTTTCATAAACTATTGAACTTTTGGACGCCATTTTAACATCCTCTTAAGAACTCGATGGCGTTTCACGCGTACACGTGGCTTTGCGCACACGTGTACAATGTGTTCGTGTATATTTATGCAAATGCTATTCGATGCGAAACTACCGAGTTTCTTGGTAAGCGTAGGGAGAGCGCGCGATTCGTAGACGACTTAAGACACGCGAAATCGAAGCGGCCATTATCCGATTGGCCCAGCTGCCGGACAATTGGAGCAATTCGTCCGAGGCTTGCAAATCGCATAGAAAGGCACTTGAGGTCCCGCTCGGGCTGAAATAACGCGTGAAACGCGCTAACTGGGTTAATGGTAATGCCGAGTCGTCCCAGGAACGTATTTCGCGTGGACTCGTCCTTAGAGTTCTAAGCCCGGTAAGTTACGTCAGGAGCGATGAGAAATTCCTGCCAACTTATCGGTGACTTCTCCAAATTGTTTTACTTTCCTGGAAAAATTATGAGAACTTCAATATTCGCAACGGAGTGAACGAGGGGTCCCGATTGGTTGCAGAGAAGTACGAGATCCGGGAACTTCCGTTCTACGTTTTCCATCATAACCTCTAATTTGTTTCGTCGAACGACGCTATCGGATTAATAAAATATGTATGATATGGCCTGTTCCGAGTCAAATCACGTGGAATTCCCGTGAAGTTACACGTAAATATCTTCAGCTGGAAGTAAATAAAACTCTACAATTAATAGTTTTTAATGATATTCATTACTCTTAAGCTTGAAGCTTCGAAGTGCATTGAAAATAGAAACGTTACCTTAAGTGAGGGAACCTCAAGTATATAAGTAACAAAATTAATGTTCTCATAAATTCACGATATTCTCAGTAACTTACGGTATGTATCACAGTTATCTTCCGAATTTTATTCTACCGAGAATTTGCTCATTCTGCGCGTCCTACGGACGAAAACAAGCCAGGAACAAAATGGCGACCGATCGGCGTCCCACTGGGCAGCATCGAAGTCTCCGAGAAATCCTTTGACAAAGGAAACGGCAATCACCTAGGAACATTCGGACGTAGGGCGACTCGTCCGGCGAGAGGCTCGGGGCTCCCGAAGACGGTAAAGGGGTAGCCCATAGATTACAAGGATGCATTTTTCATGTCACTGGAAATAACCCAATCTCGCGTGATCAGGCCGACGCGCACGCGAGCCCAAAACTCGGTCGTTTTATAGCATCGCTATTTTATTATTAAAGATGAATTACGGCGTTCGATTGCAGGAGTGACGTTTCAATTTAAGGAGTGGCGGCCAATTAAGGGACCTCGTTAGCGGAAGAGGGAACCAGTTGGTGGCCGTTTGGAGCCTAAAAAGAGGCCCACCCTGGTGCACCTGCGATCCGGTCTGTCCTTAGGCAATTTAATGCGAAGTACGAACGACCTACCTGTCCACGACCGAGCTGCCATTACCATTAGCGCGTCCTGTGAGTTTTACGCAAGTAAAAAGCTACCCCTTTAATCACTCCTAAACGACTGTCTTGAATTATTACGGGATTGATGAAAAAAAAAACCCGTTCTAATTTCGGACACGTCTTTAGCGCTCGAGGACGAGTCGAGGGGATAAAAGAGGAATTATTACGGGAATTATGACCAAAAAAAACCTGTTCTAATTTTAAACACGTCTTTAGCGCTCGAGGACGAGTCGGGGGGATAAACGAGATATTATTACAGGAATTTTAAAAATAATCTGTTATAATTTTGGACACGTCTTTAGCGCGCGAGGACGAGTCGGGGGAATAAAAGAGGCGGACTATTTGAGAAGGTCGTTGCTCGTCTTCCTTGCCCACCTGTTCCAGGCAATATTGAAATAGCGGGATGGACGGTGCGTACGTACACGTACGTATCCGTACACGAGTGCGCATAAGTAAATCACCGTGCACGTCGAATGATGGAAGTTGGACCTAGCCTGGATGATAACGGGGTAAGATGACTCAGAATTACGGCTCACTCGGGCTTCGCTCGAGTTGAAACGGAATGTTAGTCCCGGTAAAGTATGGCAAAGGCAGGTAAGAGCCTCCGAGGAATCCTCGTTTGTTAACCTTGGCGACCTTGTTCCGCTAACTCGACGCGACAAGTAGTTGACTCGCGGTTCGAGGAACATTAGATATGCCTATTTCGCGGCTACGTTTTCCTCTCGTTTCGCGCATGACCGCTCGGACGCGTCATTAACTCGGTCGGTATCTTGCTCGGGACTAAATTGAAACCATTTATTTCTAGGTTAGCACTCCTTCGACGAGATTCACGGGGGAATTATTTTCGGACTCGGAGCTCCGGTGACCGGTGGATGGATCGACGCCGGGATTGCAGCCTCATGTGAAATGGACCAAGTTAAGTTTTCACCGGGTGGCCTGGTCGGTAATCGGACGCGCCAAGATCCGGTTATACCACATTTCCGATTTGAAAGAATGCTTAACCAGGCAACTTCCGCATAATACCGGGCACGGCGATGATTAATAACGACTATCTGACCGACGATTTAGCTAGGATGACGGATTGGACGGAAGATCGCGAACGCCTCTTCGGCAACGAATGCTGCTGTTAATGTACCTCGCGCCAAATGTACATTTATATACGTTGTATACGGATGCGCAAAGCCATGTATATGCGTGAAATGCCACCGAATTCTTATCGCAAAGTTTGGGCATGTTAAGGTCATATGAAAGGGTCATTCTGTATATATAAAACGTGAAAATATTTACAAAACTTTTCTCCAAATGTGATTATTATTCTCGCTGGTGCGGACTGATTAATAGTATCGTTTTGGCGAAAATCCCTTACATGCAATTTTAGACTAGTTGAGACAGGGCGAGTACTTGTTGCATATGCATTCCCGGTTGCAACCGACTCTTGAGGCCAGTTTTCCAGCCCCGGTTAGAGACCGATCAGGTCGGATGACAATTAAAATGACACCGTCACTGTATACTAATTGCTGTTTAACCCGGTTGAACCGTTTCTGCGAATCGGAGAAGGAAACGTTCGAGTAGAAAGTCGGATGATCGTGTCGGGCTGGTTCTTGTATAAATGGCTACCGACGGCACCGTAAATGTTGGCATATCTACCTCATACATTTTCTCGCGATTCCGAATCAATACCTAATCCTCTAAAATAAAGGTAGTTTATTCTTGGAGGATATCTGAACGTTTCCAGCTTAATAACTGGCTTCGCCGCGACGGGGGCTATTAGTTAAATTAATGATTAACGCCCTGGCTGATGATAGGTAATTACGGTACTCGGACGAATGCTACGCCGAGGAAAGTAGGATGAAAGCCGTCCAGTTTGAAAAATGTCGATGGTCTACTTTTTCGGACGTCCTGGCATTTCAACCCGTGCATTGTGATTTGCGAAACCGCTGATTATAGATTTGGATTGCTTTAACGAGAGCAAGACAAGTGGACGCCTAGCCTGGACCTGATTAACTTACGAGGAATCACTTGGGAAATATGCAGATTAGGCGCCTCCGAAGATCGCCTTTCCTTCGGTCCTGCTTTCGAGCTTCGTCTAAGGATACCTGTGGGAATTTTTTGCCCTTCGGTCTCCGAGCTAATCGCTCTTTCAGCGGCCTTCTCTTCCTCGCGGGTAGAACGCGAGTGCATTTTTTTGCACATCAATCAAGATAATCGGCTTGAAAGTAGGATGAAGGTATCTAGATCAAACGTTCGAACGCATTAACTTTTCTTCACCTTCACTTGAACGTTCCCGGCTCGAATGCGGCGACGGGATTCTCTTTTTATTCACTCGATTTTTCGACCAAATCCGACCTTCACTTTTGGACGGGAACGATTATTGTTTAAGCGAGGACAATGAATTATGACCGCGAGGGGATGGAGAAATTATGGAATCGGCTTTGATTAATAATCTCTTGCGAGGGATTCTTTTCTTAAGCGCGTTAGGATTAAATACTCCGAGGCCATCGCATTGCTCACGAGGAAGAGGATACATTCCCTCGACACGTTCTTGCCTCCGTTTTCTCTTCCCCGTTGAATCCGAAACGATTACACTGTCACGAGAGTGGCAAATGCCATACTCCGCACGCCAATCGAGATAATGATGCCAAAAGTAGGCCAAGAATTTCAGCTGAGCTCTCCGAGAGGATTTTTCTTAGCGGTCCATTCAAGATCATCATCGATCGATCCTGCGATCTCCATAAATTCGAATTAACGTTAAAGTTTCTTAAGGTGATATGAAAGTGTCGTATACCAAAAAGTCCAAATATTTATAAGGCTTTTCTCCAAATTGGGTGCAGCGAATCATTGGAAGCTTCTTCACCAGATTATGAAGGCCCTAAGGAAGAACGTGACACTCGTGAAATGTTATTTTGCGGAAAAAAAACATTTGTATTTGTCTCGGAGAAGAACCGAAAGGAGAAATTTTTTATTTTGTTTTAAGGAAATTTCGCAAACATCGCGTTCTTCCTTAGGGCCTCCATAATCACGTGTTAAAGTTTCAATTGATTCGGCGCACCCAGTTTGGAGAAAAGTTTAATAAATATTTTCACGTTTTGATATATATATAAAATGATCTTTCTACCGTAAAAATGCATACACGCATATAGCTAATTTTATCAATTAATTACACCGAGTTCGCAAATAAAAGTAATTTGAATCCCTGAAGACATATCTTTAAGCTTAAAAAATAAAGTAGGATACGCAATCTGGACCTGGATAAATAAATCATGGCAGATTGAAAATAACGCCCATTAATAATAGAAACCGGTATGGCATAAAAGAGTTTAAAAAACAATTATTAGGTCACTTCAAAAGTTCTGCTGTTTCAATAGGTGAATTTTGATATAATATCGCTGATAGAGCACCGTTCATGAGTGTATTCGTCGATCACTAATGTAACGTCAATGAGTAAATAAACAAGTCAGTGATGTAAATAAAGTCAGTACCCACCAAGCACACTGTTACAGTTACATGCCACTAGAATAACATGATATATCACGAATGTTATTCAAAAGATGCATTAATACAATATAACGTGGAATTATCATCGTTCGGTAACGTTGTTAAAAACTTGTTAACAGCCGCGGTAACATCGCAGTTTTCGGCAAATTAAGTAATTGGGAACGTTGCAGGAGGTGATCAAATTGGAGCAATCGAGGCGATCGAGGCCGACCTCTTTGAGAGGTTCTCCCGCGGGCCAAGAGGACGAGGGCATGGCCAGTAGGTGGCCCAGAAAGACGCCGAGGGGAGGCAAAGGTGTCGGGTCTCGGCGGTTTGCTGACCTTTCGTAAAAAGGAACGAAAGGAAATAAGAAGAGCCGAAGCTTGCACGGTAGAAAGCGCGGGGAGCTCCGTAATTTACAGTACTCGTGCGGAGAACGGATACACCGTCCTGCCAACCGGGGACTGAAAGTCGAAGAGAATCGAACAGTGAGCAAGACCCTTGGATGGTGAGTTACGAGATTAGGTGGACATAATCACTTGGTACCGAGTCACCAACCGGTGACCATCATCGGGGTATCAACTGGTCCCAGTGGGTTCCAGCTGATATCGGTATCGCCCCGACCGGTCACGATAGATCTGGACTAATCGCTTATCGTGGCCATTTTCAGGATCCCGAGGGAACCGAACTCGGAGACCTCGTCGACTCGTCCTTCCCAACAATGCCGAAGCCTTCGCCGAGGAACAGAGAGCACTTCGAGGTGGGAGGAAGGAAGGTCCATCGCGGGGCGTACTAGGCCAGCTGAGAGTAGGTGGCCTAGAAAGGTGGCGGAGGTTTCGGTATCCGCTGGTCCCCGTCTTCGGGGCCCGGAGAAGGAGGATGAAGAGGACTAGGACTCGGACTCGGAGGCTCGGTCGGTAATGGTCGATGGAAATGGGAGCACACGGTGCGTGAAAGTAGGAAGGGGAGGCTATAGCCGGACCGGCAGCGGCCCGACGGCCTCAGTCGTTCGTGGACCTCGAAGGACGATAGAGGTCGAAGAGGGCAACTTCCTCCTCTACCCTCCTCTTCCTCTTCCTCCGACTCGTCTCGCCTTCGAGTCCCTTCGTTTCCGCGAGACGCCAAGGACTCTCTTCAGCACCTGACGGCCCAAGGATGCGACTCCGGATCGCCGCTGGGATCCTCCTCCTGTGTTGCCTTCAAGGTTCGTACCATCCCGGGACGGCCCCGACCTTGAACTTCAACTTCGGAACGACCGGCCCGAGGGGGCCTGCGACCTTCTTCCGCTTCCTCTTCCACCTTTTCTTCCTCCTGAGCGAGTTCAATCCCTGCGAGGACTTCCTAAATCGGATTTCAACGATCTCGAGTCCTACTCGTATCACCGGCTCTTCGGGGTTTCGGGAATTCGGAGGGTTTAGTCCTTTTCCTCGTAAAGAAGCGTTCGAGACTCTTCTTCGTTCGGGCGAGGCTCGACATTTAAATTCGGCAACTTTTGGAATTCACGGTTGACCTGTAGAAGGGATTTCTTCGGGGTCTTGATTAATTTAACCCTGACCTTGAACTCGGGCCGCGGACCTTCCGACTTTCCTGCCGGCCGAGCCTCTTTCTCTTCCTCCCATTCTTCGCTCTTCCCTTTCCCTTTCTCTTCCTCGAGCCTTTCTTCATTTCTTGGATCTCGTTCTCCACGATTCCAGAAGATCTGCTTTCCAATGGCGACCCAGAGAGCCGGCTCACTTTTCGAGGTTCATCGTCGAGGTTGACGATTCAAATCGCGTATCCAGGGGAGGTGTTTGAACCCGCTAGAAGTCTCATCCCCTCTTCTCCTCTATTGCCTATCTCAAACATAAATTAATGAACTCCTAATTATACTCTAGAAGGTCTTCTCGATAACTTTCGGCGTCCGCGATGTATCCACCGTATTAAAGGGGGAAAAAAGGGAGGGGAGAAAGGACAGGATTTCATTAGCGATGCTTCGCCGTTCTTTTTTTCTTGGTTTTTTTCTTTCATTCTGCATATTGCCTGTAATTAATTCCCGGCCGACACGGCCAGGTGTAATTTAAATTCACGAGCTCCTTCTCGAATCACTCGACGGAATGGAAACGTAAGCGGGACCTTATGAGGTCCCATGTGTTTGCAGGGCAGGATTAATTAAAGGATCATTGGATACTCGTTAGCGATGGCGATTATCCATCATTTCTCAAGCAGACCATCCTAGAAATGAAACGTTGCGACCGTGTTTAATTAATAATCTTTTGTTTTTTCTCTCCTCCATCGATTGAACGATGCCTTAAGCTTGAATTCAACATGTCACCCGTACAAGGCTGAATAAATAAAATGATCTTGCAAACGGAAAAACAGGTTGGATAATCAATTGCAGGATATCACGGGTAGGCAACTATCGTGAGATAATAAGGAATGCGTGCAGTCGGTTGGCACGACATGGGGAGTGATTATCGTCGATTAGAAATTGGAGGCTGGAACGATCGCAGTCCTCTTGGTCGTTCCCGGACACGATTTCGGAGAACGGTACCGACCCGTTAGACATAAGTGTCTAATCCTGTTCGGTTAATTAGACAAGGGGATCGGAACCCACCGAGAAGGGAATCGAATGTATAAGATCGGTGATGAAACCACTGCGATAAGGGTCGACCATGAAATTCAACTACTCACTGTGTACATTGACTTCTTTTTTACCTCCTTGCCAGGAACCCGATTCTCCAGTTCGTACGAATTTTTTTCGCGTACGAACAGATTCGTATTAAAAAATGTCACATTGTTGCGGAGTCGCGTAATTGGCCAACATTTGAAAGTCGTTTGTACGATAAAATCGGATTCCAGGGATCCAATCCTCTAGTTCATACGAATTTTTTTTTCACGTTCTAATAGATTCGCATAAAAAATTTCACATTGTCCGCGAATCGCGTCATTTATGAACATCTGAAATACGTATACGAAACTGTCGGCTTCGCATGCGAATGTCGATTGTATGAACTCGAGAATAGGATCCCAGAAGGGTCGCCGGTTTTTTGGGGCTCATCAGGGACCTGATCCTCCAGTTCATACTATCAACTTTCGCATATGAAATTGGCAGTTTCGAATACAACTTTCAGATGTTGATCAATGACGCGACTTCGCAACAATGGGAAATTTGTTCATCCCAATCTTTTCGTATGCAAAAAAAAATTCGTATGAATTTAGAAATAGGAGCTAAGGGACCCAATCCTCGAGTTCATACTATCAACCGTCGCATGCAAAATTGGCAGTTTTGACATTCAGATGTTGACCAATGGCGCGACTTCGCAACAATGGGAAACTTTTTTCATGCCAATCTCTTTGTATGGGAAAAAAATCCGCATGAATTGAAGAATAAAAGCGCAGTTCGCCCTCGTAATTTAAGGCGAGGATGGGCGAGGCTCCCGACTAATTACGTATGGTAATTCCATTTAAATCCCCCGCAAAAACAGGGCCCGGACACTGCCCCGGGTTTCGCGGGCCCTGGAAAGGAAGGCCGAGAGGCGGAAATTCGTTGAACTTGGGCCCGATAAGATCGCCTCTCTCGGTTCCCTCTGGCCCCTCTCGCAGTTGGAAGTTCATCGGCCTCGGATTCGGAGCGGACGCGAAATGAGATTCGAATCGCGCTTCCCTGGCCCGAAATAGACTAGTCTTGGCTTCCCAGGTCGGGGAAAAAATCGGGCAGGGAGGGACGTATAAAAATGCCAAGCAGCTCCTGGATCGGGGACTTAGAGCCCGACTTGGCCAATTCGAGCGGCTCGGGTGCGAACTGGGAAGTGGGACAGAAAAAGGGGAAAAAGAGGGAGAGGACTCTTTTTCCCGGGAAGAAGTACGGCATAGTGGGCATCGACGGGCGGGAATGTGCCTATCGAGGCGTGTGGCCGTGTTTCTTGTAGAAATTGCCCGGCAAATGGGCAGAAAACAAGCGGACGCCATGGAACGCACCCGGGAATTAAAGTCGCATTAAGGACGGGGAGAGAGAAGAGGACAAAATGCCGGGGCGTGGACACCGGCGAAAGAGGATCCTCCGGCCTCGGAAAAGAAGAGGAAACCGTGAAAAGGCTTTCGCGTGCCGATTTCTTCCGCGACCCTGGAAACCCGGGGACCTAGACCGAAGAGGATTGGCACCGTTCCTCTCGTCGAGAGGGATGAATTCTCGAGGTCCTCTCCGAAGAGGAGAGCGGACCTCATTTAAAGTTCCGGCACGAGTTAACTCGTGACCGGTCAGGAACGTGTTAAGAGGATCCTCTTGCCTCGGAAAAGAAGAGGAAACCGAGAAAAGCCTTTTGCGTGCCGATTTCTACCCCAGCCCTGGAAACCCGGGGACCTAGACCGGAAACTGTTGGCACCGTTCCTCTCGTCGAGAGGGATGAATTTTTGAGATCCTCTCCGAAGAGGAGAGCGGACCTCATTTGAAGTTCCGGCACGAGTTAACTCGTGACCGGTCAGGAACGTGTTAAGAGGATCCTCTTGCCTCGGAAAAGAAGAGGAAACCGAGAAAAGGCTTTCGCGTGCCGATTTTTACCGCGACCCTGGAAACCCGGGGACCTAGACCGGAGAGGATTGGCACCGTTCCGCTCGACGAGAGGAATGAATTTTCGAGATCCTCCCCGAAGAGGAGAGCGGACCTCATTCGGCGGCTAAAAGAGGGCTTTTTAAGCGGCTTAAGTTGCGTGCTTTCCAGCCAGGATTTTTACCGGCGGTTGTTGTGGTCGTTATCCTGGACATGCTACGCCTATCCCTGGGCCGGGACGTGTTAAAGGTCTTTGTCCGGCACTAACAATTTTAAAAGGTACCTCGAGGTGGTTTTATTAGCACCCTCCGGGTATTACGTTAACACTTTAGCGACCGTCTACCTCGCGTAAGTACACGGCGCGTTCGGTCGAAATTGGCCGCTCGTTAAACCGTTAAATATGTAACGAACGCTGTTAGCCTTGTCAGTCACGTCGTCATTTTTTTAGAAGACCGTCGTCCACTTCGGCGCCGATCCCCGAGGCATCCCGGCCGAAAATAAGAACCCCTGGGGTGTTTCGAGCTCCCAACGGAATTCCACCTCACCCCTGAACTCTCTCTCGGGAAGAAAGAAGCGACGAGCGCTCCTTTTCCACGACCGATGGAACTTTTCGAGGTCTGTTCAGCTTGGATGCTCTCCGGGCGAGACCCTTGCCAAAGAATCACGGCTGGTGCGAATTTTTATCGAAGACGTCCTCAGAGCCGAAAATGGAATTTTTCGAGGTCTGTCCAGCTTGGACGATCTCCGGGCGAGACCCCTGCTAAAGAATCACAGCTGGTGCGAATCTTTATCGAAAACGTCCTCGGGGCCGAAAATGGAATTTTTCGAGGTCTGTCCAGCTTGGACGCTCTCCGGGCGAGACCCTTGCTAAAGAATCACGGCTGGTGCGAATTTTTATCGAAGACGTCCTCGGAGCCGAAAATGGAATTTTTCGAGGTCTGTCCAGCTTGGACGCTCTCCGGGCGAGACCCTTGCTAAAGAATCACGACTGGTGCGAATTTTTATCGAAGGCGTCCTCGGAGCCGAAAATGGAATTTTTCGAGGTCTATCCAGCTTGGACGCTCTCCGGGCGAGACCCTTGCTAAAGAATCACGGCTGGTGCGAATCTTTATCGAAGACCTTCGACCTCGGAGGTGAAAATGGAATTTTTCGAGGTCTGTTCAGCTTGGTCGCTCTCCGGACGAGACCCTTGCTAAAGAATCACGNTGCGAATTTTTATCGAAGACGTTCTCGGAGCCAAAAATGGAATTTTTCGAGGTCTGTCCAGCTTGGACGCTCTCCGGGCGAGACCCTTGCTAAAGAATCACGACTGGTGCGCATTTTTATCGAAGACGTCCTCGGAGCCGAAAATGGAATTTTTCGAGGTCTATCCAGCTTGGACGCTCTCCGGACGAGACCCTTGCTAAAGAATCACGACTGGTGCGAATCTTTATCGAAGACGTCCTCGGAGCCGAAAATCGGCCGAGAGGCGTCCCGGACGAGCCGATCTTCCAGGCGGGATAGGTCGACTCGTTTCGAGCCCCAGACCTCGAAGGGGTCTTCGAGATCTTCGGCTGCAGTCCGCCTCGAGGTCGAGCCATTTTTTCTTTCTTGGCCCAGGGGTTCGTTACGGGGATGCTCGTAAAAGATTTCAGGGGAAATAAAACTGTTCGCGTGCAGGTTCCACGAAGCGCTATGTC